ATGGCCCTGTATGATGTCATGAAGAGCGGAATTCCTTGTATGGGCACTTCTCCAGAAGAGTGCGCACACAGCAACCAGAGCGAGAGCAAGAGCAGCCCATAAATGTGCTTCATTCGGGTTACGGAAGTCGTCAGCAGCGCTGCACAGGACTTGCTCAAGAAGGATTTGTCATTTTGTTTTTTGACCACGGATTTGTCATTTTGTTTTTAGCTTGTTTCTCCGGGGCAGCAACGGAGTTTTGCAAGTGTGTTTGTTTGTTCCCGGCAATAAAGGTGAAAAATGTTTTATAAACATTAAATAAAATTTAAGTTAATAAAGTTTTTGCAGGGCTCATTCATTCTCTGACAGCAGGTGGCGCTGTTGGAGCGGCAGAATATAGTGGTTTCCCCAGTAACCGCTGTAATCAAAGCAGGCCTGTGCCTACAGGTAAGATCAAATGAAAATGCCATAGAAACTTTTCTGAAGACAATCGGTTCCCTTCAGAGATACATTCATATAGAAACACCCGCGCCATGTTTTGAACTCTATATTTAAGATAGCCCGTCACGCAGGGCCGTGATACTTTTTGGTAGCCCAACTGGAAGACACAATAGCCCCGGGACGTCGGGCTAGCGATTCTGCGAGCCCTGTTTTGTTCCTGTTTTATTTATTTCGACGTCATAGCTTGCAGACGATCGCTACGAAAAAGCTTTGCGTGCTCGTGACTCTTTAGCTCCACCCACGGCACGCCTCCAGGAGCTCGACTGTTTTCAGAGAGAAGAGTAAAGCTGTATCTGTCTTTCATAAATCTAATAAAACTAAAGACTCTTCTGAGATATGAAGGAAGCAGTACTACTCTATAAATCCTCAAGATTAACATGGGATTGGCAGAAACTGTGTGTTATGTCCACTTTAAGAAAATATTTCAGACAAAGTTCATACTTGAATGAAGCATAACTGAGATCTCATGAGCCATGAAAAAGCAACCGCTGAGCAATAACATTTTCTTTTGGGGACATAAGGAGGTAGAGAGAGATAGAGAAGAAAAATGGGAACAGTCCAGACCCGGTGGCCAAGAGGGAAAGAATGAGTCTGCGAGAGATGCATTTCCTGTTTTAATCTCAAAGGAACACACCGTGCAGTATGAGGGGATGTTCTCACTCTGGTGGGAGGCGGCGATGGCACACTGACGACTCCTAGGCAACCAATTTGTTTGTTTATTGTCTAGGTGTTTTGTCGCGGTTACAGTTCATTGCAGTCTGCCTCCACTCCAGCACGCTCTTTTAAATGGCATATACCAATAGGACGTTTCTGGCTGACAGCAAAAATGTATTTTGCCTATATGTCACAATATGAGGTAAATCCGGCCCTGTTCATGATACTGGTTTTTGTTGCCAAATTGGTTTGGAACAGTTGTTGAATAAACAATTAAACTTAACTATTATGCCTGTCTGTTTGACTGACAGTTTTATTGATCACTGAGAGAGCATTGACTTGGTATGATGTTGGTTCAATATAAAAATGGCATTTAAAAAAAAATTGCTTAGATGTAGTAAACTACTTTTGCCATGTTGCTGTAGCTCAGCTTTAAATGGCATTTAAAAAAAAATTGCTTAGATGTAGTAAACTACTTTTGCCATGCTGCTGTAGCTCAGCTTGCTACATTTCACAGGGCTGTAGCTTTAGTGTAGTGAAGCTTCATTTAATGAAGAGTAACTGTTAGCTTAGCTCACTACATTTTCCAAGTAGCTTGCCCAACACTGCATAGGGGTTATCATACTTGCCAAAGGGGCCACAAGGGTGTGCTAGCAGAAAAATATGAGAAGAAATTTGAGGTTAACACAATGATTATTTTTATTATTATTTTTGTTTTTAATTTTGTTATTAATAAATATTTAATTTTGGAACTATTTATGTTAATCTGCTGCCAGCCATAGCAATTTTGTTGTCTTAAACATATATTTATAATGAAATTAATATATACTACTGTTCTAAAGTTTTGGTTTTTGAAAGAATTCTCTTACGCTCATTCTCTTTTCTTTCGAATTCTCTTTTTCTTTTATCAAAAATACAGTAAAAAAGGTATTTATTGAAATATTACTGAAATTTAAAATGACTGTTTTCTATTTTAATATATTTTTTTAAAATAATAATAAAATCTATAAATAAAAAATAAAATTTATAAAAATAAATAAAATGTATTTCTGGGATGCAAAGCTGAATTTTCAGTAGTCATTACTCCAGTCTTCAGCGTCACATGATCCTTCAGAAATCATTCTAATATTTCTTCTTATTATCAATGTTGAAAACAGTTGCACTGCTTAATATTTTTGTGGAAACTGATGCATTTGTTCAGGAGGGCCTCTTTCACCCGTCTTCCTCATCCCTCTCACACGCTCTGTTGTTTTTGTATCCCCCTTTCTTTCTCCATCCCTTTATCCCTTTCCCTCTCCTTCCCTCCTTCTGTTTCTTTCAGTAACTTGTTCTTTCTCTCTCTGTCTCTCAGTCCTCACATCAGTCAAGCATTATGTGGCGGCACAGAAGCTTCCAGGATGCCCACTCACATTCTCTGCGCTCACAAAGCCGCCCTGCTCTCTGCTAAATCCAATCACACACAGAGCTGCATTTGACAAAGAGCACATCGGCACAGGGAATAATCACTTGCGAAATATCCACAAGGTTACACTGTTGCATAATCAAGGCTAGGCGAGTTTAGCGTAATGATTTCCAACTAGTTCTTTATGTGATAAATAAAATTCAGTTTTGTGGATATTCCTGCCTAAAACATTTTAAACTTCTGCGCCACTTGAGACAAAATAATAACTGTTTTCAAATAGGTTTCTAGATTACTCTACCTGTTTGTCATTGGTTGGAAAAACAGAAAGCCCCGCCCCCAGACTCACATTATTGGATCAGCCAATGTCGGGCTGCAAAGAGTATAATGTTGTGAAAGCGTCATATTTTTCAGTAGAATCAACCTATGAATAGTTTACTTGCAGTCTCTGCATATTAAACTGGAATAGAAGAAAATATTTTTAAAAAGTATAAAAGAAAAAGTATAAAAAATATAAAAGTATAAAATCACCTTTAATTTCACAATATAGGTCAAGAAATTAAATGAAGTGAACGAAGCACTATTACAATCAGTTTTTTTAATTAATTTATAAATGTTTAAATTGAACATTTAATCCTGGGAAATTCATTAATTGCACTTTCAGTTACTTTTAAATTAGGGTTAGGTTAGGATTAGTGTTTCAACATAGGGGCAGTGATGGGCAGTAGCGTCACTACAAGTAGCTGTTTTCTGAATCAAATAGCTTTTCAGTAGCGAAGCTCTGTTTTTGATCAAGTAGCGCGGTAGCGTCAACAAAAGCTACATTTTTCAAAGCATTCTGAAGCTCAAGCTCAAATCGGAAATATAATTAATATTTTTGTGGAAACTGATGCATTTGTTCAGGATTCATTGATGACTAGAAAGTTCAATAGAACAGCATTTATTTGAAATAGAAATCTTTTGTGAAATTATATAAATGTCTTTACTGTCACTTTTGATCAATTGAATGCATTCTTGCTGCATAAAAGTATTAGTTTATATAATTCTGTGACCATGTACATTAGGAATCTTCTTCTCTTCCTCATGATCTGTGCTGTTACTTGACTGTTTGTTGTTATTTTGTTGAGGCTTTGTCATTGTTCTTGCACACACACACAGTGAGATAAGCCGCGGCTCCTATGAGCCATCACAGCTTTCTCAATTGGCTACGCAACTGAGCTTTGGACACATTATGTAGAGTGTGACATCCGTGCTGTAGCTGCTATATTTGCAGATTCAATGCTCTGTAGTGGCTCAGCTAAGGATCTCTGATCCTGGACCAGTAAGTGACGCCACCGCCACTAAACCCCGTAACTCCATTGGCTCCTCAAACTGTCAGTCAAAACTCATTACTCCTCCCGACTCTCTCGTGAATGAAGTGCGGCACGCAGTTTGGAGCATTTCAGCTTGTTTGCAGTCTGAAGGTAAATAAAGAACTGTTGATTGAATAAGTACAGCGTTTTCTTTACTGAAGAAACACTATATTTATAAAGGCTAATGTTTTTTGTATTTGAGGAGCGGAGAAGAGTGTCTTAGTCCAGCATTTGTTATCGAGTCACAGCCAAATAGCTTGTGCGAAGAGCTGAATCTTTTATAATATGATATTTTGGCCAAATAACAGACAAAACTGAGCGCCCACCTAGTGACAGAAAACTGTATAACCTGCAAGTTCATGAAAACCTAAATGTGATGCATGCACTGCCTTTGATGTGGCGGTAATGTCGGGAAAAAGCATTCGCTGGTCAAAAACTTCGTATTTGAACTTGATTTTGGTGAAATGTTAATAATATAATGACACATGCAACGATGCAAATAAACGTAGCCTATCTGTAGGCCTATACATCTATATGGTAACACTATACAATAAGATTTCATTGCCGCGGCTCCTATGAGCCATCACAGCTTTCTCAATTGGCTACGCAACTGAGCTTTGGACACATTATGTAGAGTGTGACATCCGTGCTGTAGCTGCTATATTTGCAGATTCAATGCTCTGTAGTGGCTCTGAATTGGTAATTCAAGCATGCTGTTTTGAGACTGCTTTAGTACTTTTAATTACAAACCCAAAGATTAGGATTCGATGGAGGAAAAATCCCCAACGTGGCTTCATTATCCATGCTAGCTCTGTAAGAATGTAAATACCAGGTGGATGTGCTAAAATGAATGAAAACACATTATGCAAAGAAGGTAAATAGGAAGACTGGGGCTAGTTGTCACACACAAAAGCAACGGGCGTGTTGTCACTCTACGTGGGGTAAGTTGTCACAATGGAATCTGCTATTAAACAGACTATTATAGGTTTTCCAGGTAAATTTAATGAGTGAAACATTAATGAGACACTAAACAATTCATGCAATGACAAAAATGTAAACGGTAACGTATCAAACATTGATCTTTTGACTGAAAACCTTATAGTTACTGAGCCCTTGTGACAACTGTTTCATCCGTTTCTTGCTAACAGAGGCCAGTCGGGCTGCATGATTTTAATCTGACACAGCAACGGTGTGATTGCACCGAGCAGAGCCTCATTTCTGAGGCAGGAAGACAATGGCAAATCCATTTCGCATCGGTTGCAGTTCCCTCTCACAAGCATGTAAAGCAATATCTCCAAATTACAGCCTCTGGAATTCGACAGGCTAAAGGCCGAGGACACGACTAGAGCGCTCTGTTCCTCAGGAAGCAAAACAGGCTGGATGGGCCTCTCGCACCTCTGCCTCGCCTCCGCAATAAATCACCTGCCATCTCATGCATGTATAGTGATCTTAAACACCCCTCCCTCGAAACCAAATCTGCCCAAGTGATGATCTATGATTGGTCGGCGTGGCTAGAAGTATAAGTTGGACCGTTATGAGAGATGCAGAGCAGTGGCTCTCAACTCGTTTTATATAACAACTGGTTTTCCAAAACAGTTATTATATATTTTGTGATATATAATATTTAAAACTTAATTTAAAACAAATATTTATCTATCTAAATAACACCATTATACTTGTTCTTTTACCTGCAGAAGAGACTTGCAACTCATTTCTATGGCAGTTGAGAACCACTGACGTAGAAAACAAAAAAGCTGCTAGACACCACCTGCTTATCGGAAACTTCTATTCCTGAAATCATTGTGCAGTAGCAGAAGTGATTCTCACACCTGCTTCTTACACATACGTCTACTTGCAGAGGAAAAATAAATGTGATAAAGATATTCTTCATGTGTAGTTCACTGATCCATTAGTCTTGTTCTAATGTTCCTGACCTTAAAAGCAAATGTTAAGTCCTGTATAATTGCTAGTACAAATGTCTGTAAAAAAGTATCTTGTCATCCT